AGGCGTGGGGGGCGGTACATGGGGACTGTGTGGGTCTCTCCCCAGGCGCAGGAGCGGGTGCAGGGGCTGGAGACTGAAGCTGAGAAGATGCGGGGGGGGCTGGCGCAGCGGCAGCAGCAGGGCCAGACCTGGGAGCAGGAGAAGGGGAGTGAAGGGGGGCACCAACGCCCTGACTGAGCCCTGGGGCCCTGCCATGGCTTGCCCCGGGGGCACTGACAGGGCATCTCCGTGTTCCCCCTGACGCCATGCAGACGGTGCTGGTGGCGGCGCTGGACACCAGTGAGCAGGTGCAGCGGGATTTCGTGCGCCTCTCCCAGGCCCTGCAGGTGGGTTGTGTGGGGGGGCCTGCAGCTGCACGGGGGCACCCGGCTGCATCTCACTGCCCTGTGCTGCTCCCCAGGTGCGGCTGGAGCAGATCCGCCAGGCCCCGTCGCTGGCCGAGGCGCGGCGTGTCGCCGACGGGGCCCACCTGGACGTCGCTGCTGTGGCGCCTCCGGCCCGGGACCAGCCCTGAGGTGCCAGGGGCCCTGGACTGTTCTCTTGTGTGGGGCCAAGGGGAGACCGCCCAGTCCCCGCCTGCCAGCCCTCCACCGCGCTCTGCCTCTCAGGGACGCCCTGGCTGCACGCCAGCCACGCACGGGCCCGGGCCCAGGCCCAGGCTCCCGAAGCCTGCTCCTGACCCAACTGTTACTAACGCCCGTGATGGTTCCGCCTGGCACCGACCTGGGCCGGGTGGGAGCCCCGTCCCCAGTGCTAACACCCCGCCCGGGGATTAAAGATCACTGTGTCACCGCCCACCTCCCAGCCCATGTCTGTCTGTCTGCGTCCTAGGGGCAGGGGGGTCCGTCTGCTGGTGCCACCACTGTCTGCAGCAATGGGTGGCACCTGGGCACGTCCATGGGTCCGGACTGCCACCCAGCCAGCACCGGCGAGGGTTCACAAGCTTCCTCGGGGGTGCTGCCCTACTGCAGCCCCTGCTGCCCGCGGTCCTCCAGGCCGCTGCAGACCTGCCGGGGAGGGAGGGGAGGGGAGGGGGCCCGGGTCCGGGCCCGGGCAGGGAGGGGCCTCCTGGGTCATGGAGGCGGGCTGCGAGGGATAGAGTGGGCACAGACCATCGAGTTCCGCTCGTGAGGGGTGTGGCGCTGCCTCCCGGGTCCCTGGCCACCACAGAGCTGCTGTCGGTGGGCAGAGCGTCTCTCGCAGCGCCATAGAGTCGCTGTAGAGTGACAGAGCGGCTCCCCCTGGTGACTAGTCTCCCAGGGTGTGGGATAGAGCGGCCATGAGGCTGCATGACCATAGAGCCTGGCGGGCGGAGCGTGCGTCGAACCAGAGAGACTGCAGCTAGAGCGCCTTCCGGCGCATTTCCGGGCCGAGGCGGCCAAGGACCGGAAGCGGCTTGCTGGTCCTTGTTTCTACCGCGCGTCCCCGCACTTCCTTCACGGGTCTCGCGCCACTTCCCGCCCGGTCGCAAGATGGCGGCGCACGCGATGCTGCTGCGGGGGGCG